AACGACGCTGTCAGACAACCTTAATCTTTCTGGAAACCCTGTTGTTGAGCATTAGGGAAATCTTTATTGAGTAAAACATACTTGGTAATACGATTATATATAACTTTTTTAAACAGTTTAAAAAAGCAAGGCAGTAAGGCTACAGACCTGTAACTGTTACAGGAATCTTTAGGCTTATTGCCACCTTTGTATAATGGAACCATCAGACCACGTTTCCAGTAGAGGGGGATATGACCACAGTTTACAATTGCGTTATATAATTTCAGAAGACATGAGCTAATTAAGTATTTTACCACCATGTATTATATGTTCATGTTATCAAGTCTTCTCCGGGTGCTTTCCGTAGTTTTAAAGTGCAATAGCGGTGATTATTTCCTTTAGTGTAATTTCGCCTCCTGGAATATGACTGAAATCTATCTCATTTTCGTTTGTTAGATGTTATACTTCTCCTCTATATTCTTTTTAAACTCGTTATCAAAACTGTCTTCGTCTAATGGAGTGTAAAGTTTCTTGTAGAATGAAGCAAATGTTTCTGCCACACCATGTGGATCCGTGTGAATCACACAATTTTCATCACAGATCTTAGGATATACTCTTGATGTTCTAGCCTTCCTTCATTTAGTCAACTAAAAAATGGGTAGCAACTGTTCCTTCGCCATGCGCTCGGCAATTTGAAGTGAAAGTTGTGGGTAATTCGGATGAGACCTTAAAAACCGAGACCCCGTGTCACGGCAGGCGTTGGCACGATAAAGAACCCTCACTGCTCAATGGCCCTAAATGCCGAGTAAAGGTCAAAATTTGAAGCCCTTCACCGGTATATGGTGACGTCTCTATATGAGTGAAAAATTCTCGAACGGGGCATAAAACAACATACAATCAATGTCTGTCTAAAACGGTTGACAAACACATGGTAGATGAGATAATACCACGTAAATTCCATGTCATCAGAACAACCATGAAAAATAGTAAAACAATGCTTGATAAGTACATAATATTACTGAAATATCTGAAGGACATTTACGTTTGCGGTCATGAGAGATCGATGAAATTTTGGCTTAAATAACATCGGGTGAGTTATATTTACACCTTTGTGTTCAAAAAAGTTTGCAATGCCTGCTCTTGACGATTCTTTAGCTATGCCCGATAAGTAGTATCTGGCTGACTTTCGATAGGTAACACCAATAAAAATGTCATCCTTATGTTTAGACGGTGCTTCCGAATTACGTTTGTCACTTAACGTAATGACGCATGATTCTCCGTTATAATCGACTAATCTGTAGTTCGCCGGTCCTCGAGATCCGCCTATGTTTGTCTATGTCTGTGTTATTTGGTTATCGAGTCGCAAAACCTATGACTGAATTGCACCGTGGCGGGGAGAAACCGTTACTAACAAGGGTACTGTAAGAGGCACACGACGGGGAATTTCTAATTGTATGAGATGGAGAGGAATGCTGGTTTTTACAAAGCGTCTTATTATTTGCATGCAAGTCTCGCATCTCCTCCGTAATATTTTGGATTGAGGGTTGCAGTGATGGTGATGCGCTTGATAGATGAGGATGTGGAGGAGAAGAATGAACCATCTGCGCAGGATTACTACCCTCCCCCCCCCCTTGCTGTACCCCTCAGATTTGTGCTTGTTGACAGTGCTCGCGTAGGATTTACAGGGACTTATGCGAACTTTTGAAAGTCTCTTTAATTCGTCACTTGTTTTGGTTCTGTATAACTGATAATCCATATGATCTGACTCTACATGTTTGAAATTGTCAGACGTGAGCTTTTGAAAAGAGTCATATTTGGAGAACCTTGACATTGTTTCTGCTTTAAGGCGGTCATATTCGGAACGAAGCTGTTCGCATTCTGATCGAGGCGATTGAAGATCAGAGCTCAGGGATTCAATAGTCTTTTCTCTAGATTGAACAACACTCCCTAAATTCGCGATTCGCTGTACTAGGGTATGCATAATTGTTTTAAGTTCCACTGCCATGATTTTTGACAAGTCAGTTCCACAAAATGAACACTTATTTTTGTCGAATATTTCATTAATACAAGATTTTTCTCCTTGTATAAACATATATAATGTGTAACAGTCTTTAGCATATTTTGCTGTGCTAGAACTGCTTTTTGTGGTTTTTCTATTAATCATCTATTAATCATCTCGATACCAACAAATAGTACTTTCATCATTTGAACACAGATCTAGTAGTTTGTTTATGTAAATTTCTTTCGGTAAATTGTACAGCTGACTAGATTGTCAATTTTAGTTTGATTTAGAATAATATTGCTTTCATTGTCTGCAAATACTTCTAATGCTGAAGCGTCTGGCGACTTTTGAAATTCTGAGTGGCTGAACATGCTAGGTTGACTCTCGTAGGGAGTACTCACGGTTTGTGATGTAAACAACGCTGCAAATTCAACATTTTCTATTGAATTATCACAATTCAGCAAGTCTGTCAGAAAACCATCACTACGGACACGTACTGTACCAATTTCTTGGCCAGAATTGTTCTTTGTGAGTCACTGTCAGAACTTTTTCACTAACTGAAATGTTCGGTCCGCCTCTATTGGCCACCATTTTTTGTTCTTGTTTCCCAATTAGAACAAGTTCTTGTCCTGTAAACATCGTTAATTTTATTGACATTGTTACTCATATAAGAAACAACTTTCTAAAATGAACAATTTTAATTTAAATACGATTCTAGCGCAAAAAATGAGGTTTTATTTTCAGAGTTGTTATGAATGGAACCATAGCGATATTTCATAATGTATACGGCATTTTTTAATATACACGTACCTCAATCTGTCAATATACGAGGTTTATCCATAAAGTTCGTGGACAAATGAGGTAATTTTCTTAACAATGACCGCAGTGGCAATCCGACGTGTGCTAGATTTATAACAACGTCAATTCATTTGGACAAAACCGTCATTGTCCACGAACTTTATGGACAACCCTCGTATTTGATAGAAAAATGTTGTGTTTTCAGAATTAAAAAGTTGGAATATAACGAACAGTGTTCGATCTATAAAAAAATATCTGTAAACAATACAATTTTGTGAAGAGGGCATAAAACATGGACCCCTGGAAATTTCAGAGGTGGGATCAGATGTCTAGGAGTAGAGAAAGACGTTATAACTTTTGTTTCTATTAACATCTAATAAGAAATCAACAAATTTAGAAATCGAGACAAGTTCGACATACAAACTGTTTCCAAGACTAGTGTTGTTTACTATGACACAAAAGCCCAAACCTACAGAGTACGGGGGAAAAAACTGGGAATTGATCTACAGAGCAGAGAGAAACTTACGGATCACTTAACTCGGCGTATTTTGCATATAGTTCATTCATTTATTAAGACTTCGAACGATAGAATAGCGTTTATCATATTTATCACGGTAGCTCATTCGGTAGAATCGAATCTAAATGAATGTTGTTCATTTATGAACGTCGCCGATATCTTTTTTTATGGATGTGAAGGCCATAGCAAGAAACCTCTTTTCATCTCGAAGTTTCTGAATACAAACTATTTCATGACAATACAAAAAAAAACGTCGGCTAATAAAATAGCACAATTAGTACCCATTGGAATTCCAACAGGTCGTTGGAATACCTGGTTTCAACACTTTATATATGTTGTCAGTGAGGAATTCAAGTTATATGTTGGTAAACTTTTCCCAAGTACCATGAGATTTGGTTTAACAACATACTTAGCACATGTTTTACACGAGGAATTTAACTCTTGTGTTTCTATCTATTTCTTCACAACTCTAATGTGTTTCTTGTTTGTTTTTTTTTTAAATCAAGATAATATGATTAAAAAAATTACTGGTGCAATTTTGTACAGCCTAGATGTGATAACTATACGCTCAGGGGTATATTTACCTGTCTGCAATAAGTCAGGTAACAGTCCCCCGTGAGTAGTTTTCAAATTAGGTTTACTTCTGCTTATTCAAGATCACTTCATCTATTATGAATACAGTTATGTTTTTTCTACTGGTTTTAAGTAAGGAACTTCAGAGTCTTTTGGATATTAGTGATAACTTTCATTTGGATTTAGATTCGAATAATGGTTTCCTGGTGCCATTTTTCAAATTGCCCAAGAAAAGCAAAAAATTCTACAGAAAACGCAACCAAAAAGTAAATGTTTAGGTTGCCTCTTCTTATAATAGTACCAGGAAAGTTAACTACAACTTCACCAATAAAGGACTATCCCTGTGTACAAATTTGTAACCAATTATGTTTGGACTTCTCGCTTTGCCCTCCTGGAATGAAGACAAGATAGTGAGAGAACATATTTTTGCACCAATATGGCTGCAGTATCAGTGACATAGCATAAAATCCTATGTAGACAACTAATTAATCTTGCTTAAATTTCAGTTTTAATTTTGACCAAGGTAGTTTAATGTTAGAGAGAAAGAGAGAAGAGAAACGTTCTTGTTTTAATACTAATGTTGTAGTTTTGAAGACGGTTTACCATTTCAGACTCGACATTCATTGTTTACTAAGTATGACCCTGTGCTCATCATCATATCCTTTCATTGATATTGATAGTTGTAATAATTATACACATAGTTACTAAACCATTAAGCTTAGGCTTGGCATGTACGAAGTTATTTTGAATCAGCAAAAATCCTTTGTTCGAGGTGTACAATATGTACTAACCACATTTTCAACATTCTGCAGAAATATGCGGCGCTTTTCTCTTTTAAAAAATGACAGGATTGTATTGAGCTAATTTTAAATAATATTTAAGTTTGATCTTTCTTTAGCTGCCTCAGAAGGCCGGGGGAAAGGGTTGCAAATTAATTAACGTTTATAGTACAAAAGCAATATTCATACATTAAATTCTTAAAATGCGCCAGAAGACGGTTTTTGATACCCTTTTTTAATTTAAATTGAAAAGCTTGAACATGGTGTGGGAGAGCAACGCAATCATGCATATGTCCTCTGCATTAATTTTTTTCCAATCTTGTAAATACAACTGATAAAGAAATCCAAAACATACTTTTAAAGAATTTTACTCTGAATTGAATAATGAATATTAACAATGAAATATATCACAGCATTATAAGTTAAACACAAATAAAAATGAAGACGAGAAACAAAAGAATAGTGAGCATTTGGTAGGATTGTCTCAACGGAAAAAGAAGGGGTATTGGGGCTTATGTTTAGTAGATCAGTGTCGCCGCCAGCAGCTGCACATCACATATGAAACAGTATCTCCCGAGTCACAATTTTCCACTTCCACGTTCTTGTGTTTCAAAGGTAGCAAGTTTGGGACTCAAGTTCTTTGGATTTTCAGAAATCTGAAAACAAATATAGAATGTTATACAATAATGAATGTTTTGAAAGAGTTCTTAAACTTTTAAAATGAAAAATCGATCCCTGAATAAAATAACTTAAGTCTTTGGTGTTCCTACTTAAGATGTGAAAGTAGACATATTTTACATTTAATCGTTTAAATAAGACACAGGTAGCTCTAGCTTTGAATGCTTTTCATCTTTAAATACATTGTTAATTTGTACTTACGTGGGGAAAGATGTGTCAGGTGAAGGAATCAGTAGTCATAGTCGTCATAATCCTCCCCTTCTATCACCTGCACTGAATTATCATTTTTCACTTCCACTGCGTAATCGTAGTCCTCTTCACTTTTATGATCTTTACCTTTTTTGTCGACTTCTTTTTCATCTGAATAATCAACCTTATCAATTTCATCTTTTCGTTCACTTATGGCATCAACTGCATCATCATTTTCATCAGCGGGATCACTTCTGTCACTCTCACTATAATTCTTACTATCAACAGTATCATCTGTGCTATCATTTTCATCGTCGGTTTCTGTTCTTTCAGATTTATTTTCATTGGAATTATCAGTGTTGCTGTTCTCGTCATTAACTTCATTGTCATCACCTTCAGCTCTGCTGTTACTTTCATCAACATCTTTACCGTCGTCGATATCATAATTATCAGCCACGCTACTTTTGTCATCAGCTTTACTATCATCTACATCGTCACCCATGCTTGCGGTTTCGTCATCAATATCTTTGCTATCAACCTTGCTCATGTTATCGGCATCCGCTTTGCTATTATTTTCGTCGACAACTTTACTGTTTTTGGCTTCGTCCTCATCAACCTTGCTACTGTTTTCTTCATCTGCTTTACTATTGTCGATGTCACTGTTATCATTTATGCGTTTATCTTCTTCGTCTCTGTCATTTATGTCCTTGACGTTGCTTTTATTTTCGTCATCAGTTTTGCTATCAGCACTGTCAGCTTTGCTATTATTATCATCATCAGCTTTACTGTCATCATTATCGTCATCGTTGTTTTCATTGTCGGCTTTGCTATTATTATCTTCGGTATCAGCAATGCTTTTGTTTTCGTCAACTTCATTCTCAGCTTTACTATCGTCGACATCATTTATATTTTCTTCTTCCATTTTACTTTCATCACCATCAGGAGTTATGTTTTCAATGCTGCTGGCTTCGCTTTTATTGTCATCCCTGTCATCAACTTCATCGCCATCTACCTTGCTCTTGTTTTCATCATCGGCTCTACTGTTATTAATATCGTCACCTTCTGTTGGACTTTTGTTTTCATCGTCAGCTTTGCTATCATCATTTTCTTCAGTATCAGCGATGCTTTTGTTTTCGTCACTAACCTCACTCGCATCATCAACCTCAGGCATACTGTTATTTTCAACACTATTATCTGTGCTCTCATCGGTATCTTCTGCGTTCTCCTTGCTGTTATTTGGATCGAGTGATTTACTGTTATCGATATCATCAGTGTCAATTTTGCTATTGCTTTCTTCATCATTAGCTTGACTGTCAGCCAAGCTGTTTGTTTCATCACCGTCAATTTTGCTCGCGTTTTCTTCGTCATTAGCTTTACTGTCATCCACACTGTTTATTTCATCAATTTTACTTTTGTTGTCTTCATCAGCTTGACCGTCAGCCATGCTGTTTGTTTCATCATTACCGTCAATTTTGCTCGCGTTTTCTTCATCATTAGCTTCACTGTCATCAATACTGTTTATTTCATCAATTTGACTTTTGTTGTCTTCATCATTAGCTTGACTGTCAGCCATGCTGTTTGTTTCATCATCAATTTCAATTTTGCTATTGTTTTCTTCATCATTATCTTGACTGTCAGCCTCTAGAATGCTTTTGTTTTCATCAAAATCATTACTCTTATCGATGTCAACATCGTCAGGTATGCTATCATTTCCCTCATTAGTTTTACTATCATCAGTATCTTTGCTGTCGTCATCAATTTGACTCTTGTCATTGTTATTGCCGTCAACATTGCTACTATAGTCATCGTTAACTGAACTAACATTGTTATCGTCAACGTCTTCAATGCTCTTCTTTTCATCATCTCCTATACTGTCATTAACATCATCAGCCTTGCTGTTGACATCTTCCTCATCCTTACTATTGGTTTCATCAATAAGTTGACTGTCATTGGTATCATCACCAAAACTTTTGTTTTCTTCATCGGCAGCTGTACTGTCATCTACTTGATCACCATCTGCTTTGCTATTATTTTCTTCATTGGCTTTGCTATCAACGTTATTATCATCGTCAGCTTTACTGTTTTGTTCGTCATCAGAATTTCTTTCAACATCATCGCCGTCGGCACTGTTGTCGTCAGTTGTACTAGCAACGTCAGTATTGTCGTTTTCCTTGCTCTTGTTTTCTTCATTGGTTTTACTGTCATTTTTCTCATCAACCTTATTTTCTTCTGATTGGTTTGTAAATTCGTCATCGGCTGACCTGTCATCACCATTAACATAAACTATACTATTGTTTTCTTCATCAGTCTGACTTTCATTGGCTTCAGATCCTTCATCAATGCCATTATTTTTGTTGTCGGATGCTGTTACAACATCATCACTCTCAGTGCTGTCATACATTTTGACAGCTAGACTGGCAAAATCATGATCGATGTCGTCCTTGCTGTTGTTTTCGTCTCCAGCTTCTCCAACATAGACATCGTCGTTTGCCTTGCTCTTGTTTTCATCATCAGCTTCATCTTTTAGTTCTGTGTTTTCGTCATCACTGTCTGTAGTGTTGTCGTCCTCTCTATCGTCATTAGTAGAACCAACCTGGATATCTTCTGTACTTTGGTTTTCATCGTCGCCTATGAGTGAAAGTTCTCCCGACTGTATACCATTGTCATTATTTTTGTCACTCTCGTCATCCTGTTCATCTTCGTGACTTCTAGATTTAAGTATTTCTTGGTTTTCGTCATCTTCTTCTTTAGTATTGTCTTTCTCTTCACCACTCTTTTGCGTATCTCCATTCTCTCCTTCATCAATTCCGGATTGATTTTCATCTTTTTCCTTTGTTTGTTCTTCGTCATTATCTTCCAATTCTGAATTGTTTTCTGGTTGATCGTCGTGAACTCCGATACCTAAACAAAGAGAGTTATATTAAGAACAAGAATAATGTCTTACATTTTGATTTTTGCAATAACACTGCAGGCGCGATATTCAGGCGTCCTTTCGTCTGGTGACATAGGATTTTTGAAATGATTAATGCGTTGAATAAAGAGAAGAGCAAACCAAGTGGTTCTCAAGAGCATCGTCAGTTAAATCTTGATAGAGTTTCGTTTTTGATGCAAAAAACTTTTGTTGTGCCCCCGAAATATTTATTATAGATCATTCTATGTCCGTGGACTTTTATTAGAACGTTCCAAAATTTTAAATAACGTAATTGACAAACCGGAGAAAGACATTTTAACTTAATTTAAGCTGCATTACAATTTCGTATATATGAAACGGAAAAGAATGAATTTATCAATTCAAATTAAAAGCCAAAAAATGTGAGTTTATATACAAGTCTTTTGCAATAGGATGGAAAAAAAACTTACTGGCACAATATCCAGTGGCAATAATAGTCATCAAAGCAAGCAACAAGAACAGAGGCTTCATTGTGAAAATTAAAGTTCACTATTAAAACTCCTCAGTATAGATAATGGACTAGATTGCTTCTCTTTGTCGCTTATTTTCTGGAGACCAGCTCCAGTCAAAGATAATTCACAACTGAGCGATAACATAGACATTTGAGGTTTTATACCTGTGAAATAACACGACTTGATCTGTCAAACGCTATAAAATGACAAAGGCTTAGGTGTATGTAAAATCATCATCATTTGCATATTCAATTAAAACACTCTCATTGCATTTCATAAAGAGAATATATTTTATACATACTTTGGCTAACCACATGTCATGCCTTTACGAGAATACTTACACACACCTGAAATTGATCAGAATAGAACGCGCTGCAAATTTACATTGCTTGAATTGCATTACATACATTTTAATGCTTTACAACTTCTTAATGTCATATTAATAACTTTTAATTAGAATTAAAATTTACAACTTCATGTTTTGTACGTCTTGAAGCGTAGAGTATGATATTACATTATTTAATACAATATGGTTACCGGATATAAAATGTAAATCATCCTTAAATCCTAGATTGGAGATCCCTTATTTATACATGTCTGTTTCCTGTAGGCTCAATCAATACAAAATTCGTGATTTTAAAAAAAAAGTTACTTATCAGTATATACTGATAAGTATAATAAGTAACAGTTTGGAATCTAAGTTATGCAAATCGTTTAAAGTGAACAGTTCGAGTACCTCCGTTTAAAAAGAGAACGATGAGATATGCCGAAAGTTTATGTATCATCTTAATTTAAATAAATGCATTTACTCTTCGTCATGATTTTTATGACTGTAGTGACCAAAACCATGTCATCACACTTAAATATAGCTTGTGTACATTTCGTATTGCATGTACTACATGTGTTTGTCCATAATTGATAATATTCGAATCAAATTCTCCGTAAAGTAAAATTCTATGAACATTCCAATAATATGATCTACCTCCTTCATAATATAATTAAATGCCCTGCCACCACCTGAGCCCTCTACCTTGTACATGTTAACATAACAAAGAAAAGGTATGTTGCACTCTGCAACTATTTTGACTTTATTAATTAACCCCAATTTAGATCACAATAAATGAATACGTAGCATGACCCTATTAAAAAGAACTGACATTCTTTTCTTTCGGTTTTCTAATTTCAGAACTTTTATTGTTTTTTCCAGAAGGAAGAATTTTAATACATGCTACACATGTAATTAAATGTATAAGTCGACGTACAACCATCCTGAAATGTGTTTTTATACTGCTTTGATACAATTCTTTATAACACATTTCAGAATCACAGTCAAATTAAATCTTTGATTTCATCACCCTATTAATCATTCTGACAATCTAATTTCCTGCACATATTTGTCTTTTTTGAATTCCCGACATCTCTCAACGATCCTTGTTTTAAAAATATACATTATACGTTATGCATGTTTTTTATACGAATGTTTTTTTTCAAATATTTTTTTCTCTCAATCTTAATTGATTCAAAATGGGAACTATATCCAATCTCATAGAAATTAGATTTTTTCGTTGAATACATTAAATCTTCATTCTATTCTATTTTTTTTTTTACCATCATTTTGACCTTTCGTGAGTTTTTATACAGAAATAGTTATATTAACGAATGTTATTCATAATTATGGATGTTAACTTAGCCACATGTCATTTACTTGACTTTATGTTGATGACGGTTTTGCTTAAATCCATGTGATTAAAAAACGATTGAATACTGGTATATTGCAGTCATATACAATGAACACACACGCGAACATTAATTACAAGTCCACTTCTTGACGTCATAATTATGAGGTTATGTCACGTGCTCTCGTTAATATTTAATTCACTGAAGCAAGAACGTAGTTCGTGATAATACTTTAGAATAAGTGATCAAAAAACAACTTCCTACCTAAAAACTATATTTACATGTATGTTTTTTGCATGTCCAGTAGATTTTGAACCGTATCGATTCTCAATCAACGAATTTTAGATAAACAAATGTCAATAGGAGGTAAAATTAAGAAGACAATTCTTTGTACATTGAAAGCTTTGTACTCAAATAAACCTTTCACTTACCTTTAACGATTAATTATCAAACATAAATAATCTTTTCAATCAAATTATTTCTAGCTTTCGATCGGGGCTTGAATTATTATCTTGAAAAGTCATAAAAGCTGTTTAACAAATTCTGTGACATTGCTATTAGGTAAGCTGAAGAAACTGTTTATACAGTATTGGCATATAGATACTTCGGAAAACTATTTTATCTTTTTTTGGCGTGATTTACTATTAATTAACAAATTATTCGCATTACCCAATATGTACAATATAATTACATGTATTTCCGCACTAATAAGTTGAAGGGGAAAATTGTTATAATATTTCACAAAGATTGCAAAGAGTTATGGGATAAAAACGTGTACTGCATATGATTGAACTATAATCTATATATTTCAAAACTATTAACTCGAATTAATGCTGCATGAGAAAGCATTCGGACTTAGAGGGGACCTAGGGGGCGCACACCCATTCCCTTAATTTCCAAATTTTATGTTACATATGTATAAATATAAAAACTGACAAAATATTAAAATGTGCATATTAAAATATATTGTAATAGAAAAATTAATAATTCTAAGTATCGGTTTTCGATTTCGACATACGGAGTTGCTGTGATTACTAAAACAGACAGTTCTTTCAAAACGCTACTCCTCCTACAGTTTTGGTCTGATTCGAATGATACAAGTAGACTTTACTACGATACATAATTCTAAATCGATGTTATGACAAATGGTGTTGCATAGTTTCTAAACATAACAATTTCTGTGAAATTCTTTCAAAAGTTATTCCATTTTGGTTCAATTTCAGTCCATTTGTTTTTATTTAAACAATAGAATAAATAGAAATTTCTGCGAAATTCTTTCAAAACTTTATTCCTACAGTTGCGGTCAGATTTCAGTGAGACTTGGTACACAAGTAGACTGCACTAAGATACATCTTTCTTTTTAGTGAACACCAGTTAGAGCTACAGTCTCGTCAAATACTCTGGTTTTTCATTCGTAAGATATCATAATTAAGATGAAAATAAATATTAAATGTCTAATTGAAGTGATTATAAGACACAGAAATTAAATGATTTTTTTGTCACATGCACAGGAAAGTTATTCTGACTCGGAATGCGTGCATTATTATTATTTTTTTTGGACTACATGTATATATTTCTTAAGTTATTTGTAAATCTACTGATTTTTACAAATATGAAAATACAAGCATTGAGGCGAGAGCGTCATCAGACATGATAGGGGGGAGGGGGTTCACGTGACTCAAATCTATGAATTTAAGATGGGCTCAAATCATAGCTCAATGACGAACAGATAAGTTTGAATAGAAAGAAATTTTCTGTTGAGAAATTTTGCTAAATTTGATTATTGATACTAAAGTGTGATTTTATAGAAAGGTATAACGACACCTAATAGACTATGTAGGCTAATTATACGAACACATCACTAGAATGCTTCAGGGACCAGGATTCACCCTACTGGGGCCTTAAAAATGCATTCCCCTAGCTAAAACTCCTTGATCCGCCACTGGAAATATTTTAAACATACTACATGTACTGGCATGAACACTGGCGTTGTGACAATGAACGAGCCTTTAAATGACACAAACATCTCCATGGACAAAAATTACCTAAGTATTTTATATATATATATATATATATATATATATATATATATATATATATATATAAAAGAACGAAGAAAGAACATTTTCGGCAAAATACTACCAACGATGGCTTATAAAGTTTTCTGGTGTCATCAAACCCTGGAAAATTATATCAATTTAAATAAAATGATCGATTGGCTTGGTCTCAGATAAACCAAATCATTAGCAACCAGTCAACGAAGATGAATGTAAAATCTTGTTCATTAAGGGTTTCATGAAGTATTTTCCTTTTCATATATATATTAACGAGAACATATGGATCATTGTTTTTTACTAGTTACAATGTATATGGGTTTTTAACACAATTTGCATCAGAAAAAGGTGCGGTGATCATTCAACAAGGCGTGAGATTAAATAGCCGCTCCTGACACATGTAATTATCACAGCCTGCTACAAAATCATTGTTCTCCAGTAATTTATGTTTGTTGCTAATTGTTAACCTGCTGATTTAGTTGACTTTTTGTCTATATAATTTATGTTGGTTCGTGTAAAATGGGATATATTTAAGAAAAAGTTTTGGTATTTGGTCCTTAGACAAAAAAGTCTATCAATTATATTTTTTCCCTTACTGGCCTGCGTGATGTCTTGATTGTTAACAGAATGTCGAGGTAGAATCTTCAATGTTATCATGAAGTACACACACATCTCTTTCGTTAATTCTTGAATTTTTTCACTATTCTGGTAGATATGATAATCATGGAAATAGGTTGAATGCTTAATTCCCTTGAGTAGAAAAGAAAATTTCCAAAAATGTAATTTACTAGGAATTTAATGAATGACTTTCTTAATTTCATTCTTTGGCGAGAATGGTGGAACAAGAGTCATGAGTTTGATAATTTTAGTAAAGAATTAAGTACCAGTATTGTAATCATGCACACTCTTTGCCTGTTAGATCCCATGAGTAAAGGAAAAGAATGGTGTAATGTATTTTCAATGTTTGACCAACTTACCCAACTCAGTTTCAGAACCTTGAGCTCGAAGGCGGACTGTTCATCATAAACATTGAAGTAATTTGTATGCTAAATGAGTAGAGAAGTTTTTTTTTTTCAATAATTTAAAGTATTTTTAATATATGACCAACTTAGCCCCACCCTAAGGCCTGAAACCGGACCCAGAGGCCATGAATTTTTCAATTATGCTAAAATTTATGTTGTATGTAATAAATACACATATAGTTTATGCAAATAAAAAATAATCATATTGTAATCAGTTTGCCTACTAGATGTTCATGAGTAACGAAGATTTCATAAGATATATATTACTATCTTAGCCCTACCCAGAAGCCTGAACCAGGGGTCTTGAATTTCACACTTTTGGTAGAGGATATTTTGATCTTGCTAAAGCAGAGAAAAAGTTTTTCATAGATTTTGTAATTTTTTACTGTATGAGCATTTTG